GCTTTTCTAATGCTGGGTCACAATGCCAGATGCCTTTTCCAAAAAGAATCTACTCTGGTTCCACCTGGGCAAGGGCGGTGGGTGAGGATGGGGCAGCGGCGGGAGCTGGTGGAGTCGGGGGCAGAGGCAGGTGGGTGTGAGGGCCCTTCTGCTGGAGACCCAGCCATGACTCAGCTCTGGTCACCTCCATCCCTATGAGTGACTCGGGATCCCCTCATCTTCTCCCTTCCATACTCAGCACCTAACCAAGGCTTTCTTTTTTCTTCAATTCCTATTTCCGGATCATGTTGTAATATATTCATTTTGCAGGCAAAGGGAGTTATAGAGATAAACTTCTGGGAATAGAAATGAAATATTTATCATTAAAACATACCGAGTTACCATTCATTTGAAGACAGTTTAAAGGTTGTATTTAGCATGACGAGCTATTGTTTTCGTCAAGGGCTTTCCCCGCTTCTCCGCCCAGCCGCAGCCGTGGGCCCAGCAGGCTCTCCATGGGGCCAGGCCGTTTCTTTCAGCAGCTGCCTAACGGGGCTGACAGTCTGGGTGTTGCTGTGGCTCCAACAGAGATGTCATAGCCTCTTCAGTCACTGTGCTCTGGGCTGATGGGTGTGGGAGAGAAGGGTCAGCTGTGCAAGAGAGAAGGTGCCAACTTTACGGAGGTTTGGTTATGGCTGTGCCTCCGGGCTGGGTGGCTTTGAATCCAGCCGTAGTCATTGTCTTTATGAACCAGGAGGGAGAGAAAGGGAGGGAGGGCAATTAGATTAAATGCATATTAAACTCTAAAGAGACCCCATAAGCATGCTAAAAATTATACACCTAGAAAATAACATGTTTTTTAAAGAGATTTCAAAGTCACCTGAATGTGGTCAAACATAAACCACTAGAATCGCCCAACCTTAAAAGACAGATTCAATGTTCAGAAAGGAAAAAAGTCCCAGTAATAATGGAAACATACAGGCTTATGGGGTTTCAAGCATGGCCTTTTCCAGTATAGCGACAAAAGTCTCCTTGTCTCCAAGGACCCTGCTGCCTCAGGGAGTCCCCGACCATACTCTGTTGTTGCTGAGGTGGAGCAGACCCATTTTTCTGTGTCACATAACATCCCCCCAACCCCTGCCCCCGGGATGGAGCCTTTACAATTACACTGCGTTTGTGGAGGGCCCTCAAAGCCTGTCTTATCAAAGCAACGATGACAGTCATTCCATCTCAAACCCCTGCTTTTGCCTCTCTCAGACCAGTGCTGAGGGGAGTTACCTATTCATCGGGCTGCCTCGTGGTTCCCCCGTGAGCTGTTTCTGTAGCATATATAATGGTAATGGTGGAGCGAGCGTTCTATAATGGTAATGGTGGAGGGAGCGGCTTGTCTTTCTTTCCTGGGAACTTATTCTTTGAAGCAATTGAATGAGACCTTTTCAGGCGGGGGTGGCAGGCGGCCTCTCTTCAGAATGCTTGGCCCACTTCCCAGTGTGAAACATTCCCCAAATATGCAGCTTTGTAAGCGTCCAGGCAGCCAGAGCTCGGAGCAGCCTGCTGCCAGAGGAGCTGGCATCCCATGGGGATGTGGGGATGGGGGCACGGCGCCCCAGCCCCTCCGGCAGGCCCTGGGTTTGTGGGATGCCAGGAAGGCCCGGCCCCTGGTTACGTCGTTGGGAGAAGAATCTGGCCAACAGTTGGGCTGTGACAAGAGCTTGAAGATTGCCTCTCTCTCTCTCTCTCTCTCTCTCTCTCTCTCTCTCTCTCTCTCTCTCTCTCAATCCCCTCCTTCATTCAAATTCAGTCCTATAAAAAGGCTTTTGTTGAAGGAGCAGCCATGGTATTTTGGTGCGCGTCTGTGTCAGTGTTTCCAAAGATGGACAGAAAGAGCATCCTCCGTTGAAATCTTGCGCCAACAGGTCTGAAAGTTGACTTGGAAGGAGTAGAGGTCACAGTCACTGTCACATGGCATTTGTTTTGTTTGGAAGTGATGAAGCCACAGAGGAAAGGAGCTTTTTGTGGATGGTAAGACGTCCCCTGCCCGGGAGTGTCCGAGGAAGGGCTCGCTGGGTGGGCCGAGGCTCGGGCAGGCTGGGCTGTTGCTTAGATGTGCATCTGGAAGGATGCTCTCAGCAGCTGGGGCAGCGTGGAGATCACTTAGGAAAGAAGGGGGCTCTGACTCCTTTGCCGTCTCTTGGGGAAGGAGCCACGTCTGCTTCTGTGGGTTCTCACAGTATTCTACAGCAATGACTACAGTCACACTGTGGCAAGATGCCGTCTGAAAACAGGTCCAATGTTTGATCAAGGAAACGACCTTTCATTTCTCCTGGGCTTCAAGCTTTTGCTTAATTTTATCTCAACTCGGTGCCTTTGTAGCCCCTGAGGTCTTTGCTTCACGGAGGCCACGGGTGGAAGGATTTAGAAGTGAAACAATGTCACTGTGTTTCGCTGTCATTTTATCATTTGCTTATTCGACTGAATATTCTTTTGTGTGAGCTTTGAATGCATATGGTTGTCAAGTTGGTCCGAAGGTTGTGGGCTATTGTTAAGCTGAATGCATATGGTTGTCAAAAGCAAAAGCAACCAAGCCAAAAAAGCAACACCCAGCAAATTATAGACTGCGGCATTCCTAAGTGAATGTTCTTGCTTATGTCTGAGTTGAATTATTTTTCTTGAGGCTCCGTCCTTTGCCTGCTCAAATTGTGTGGCATCGTTCTGTTGTGGGGTTTCTGTATTTTCAGGCATAGGGAGTAAAGGACCACACACCTTCTCTTAAATTTACCCTCTTTTATGTGGGTGTCCTGCCACCTTTTTTAATTTAATTTAAAAAAAATTTTGTTGTTGTTGTTGCTAATAGTCTTCTCCTGATGCTTCTTGCTTCTTTAAGCACATTTCTGATTTTATTCCCCTGGATTTTCCCTAGCTCTTCCTTGGCATTTAATGCCTGTGCCTTGTTCGGGCCCTGGCTCGACCACGTACTAGTTGTGTGACGTTAGGCTAGTTAGTTGTCTTCTGTAGACTTTATTGTCCTTACGGTAAAAGGGGACTTGGCACCTCAATTCTTGAGCTTTTCTGGGGATTAAGTGAGTTGGTACATGTGTAGTGCTTAGAACAGAGCCTGACATCATTAATGTTTAGTTTGGGCTTCTTCCATGTCTGATGCGGGGTCTACTGGGAAATGTTACAGTTAGGAAAGAGAAGACAATGGAAGGAACAGGCTTTGATGATCAGTGGTGGTGTTTCATCATGCTGCTGTTTCCATAGTAGTGCTGGTCCCCGATGAAATGAAGGGGAAAAGCCCTAATTAAGCTGTGTATCCTGGACTGCTTTTTTTCGTGTAACCTCTTTATTGAGATTCGCATACCATACAATTCACCCATTTAAAGTGTACTATTTAATAGGTATTGGCATTGTTACACTATTAATTGTTTAAGTTCTGGTAAAATATATAGAAAACATAAAGTTTGTCATTTTAACCATCTTTAAATGTACAATTTAGTGGCATTCATTACATTCACAATGTGGTGTAACCATTACCTCTATTTCCAAAAATTTTCATCACCTCAAACAGAAACTCTGTACACATTAGGCAGTAACTCTCCAGTTCCTCTCTTCCAGCCTCTGGTAACTTCTAATTTGCTCTCTGACTGTATGAATTTGCTTATTCTAGATATTACATGTATGACATTATACAGTAGTTGTCCCTCTGTGTCTGGCTTCACTTAACATATATTTTAAGGGTTCATCTTTGTTGTTGTACGTATCAGAACTTCTTTCCTTTTCATGGCTGAATAATATTCCTTTGTTTGGGTATACGATGGGTGAACATTTGGTTGTCTCCACTTTTTGGCTATTGTGAGTAATGCTGCAGTGAACATTGGCATACAAGTATCTGTTCAAATCCCAACTTTTAATTCACCAAGGAGTGGAACAGCTATTTCATATTGTAGTTCTATTTTAGCTTTTTGAAGAAACACCAATAATTTTCCTGAATTACAGTTGCTTTTTGGTCATTCTCTCTTCTTGTATATCTCTCCTTTGGTATCTATCTCCCTGAGATTCTATTCCATTTCCTCCCATTTATCCAAGTTTCGTTGCACTGCACTCGGCACATATGTTCTTATCTCCCTTCCCAACCATGTGTCTCCCTCTCACGTGTCTTTCTTTGTCCCTCATCGATGGGTGGAGCATATATCACCCACTCTGGCCACACGTCGCCTGGTCACTTTCATCTCATTGTCCAAGGAGGGCGAGCCATTGTGGGTCATCTATAGGCCTCCGTCCACTTCAGCTGAAGGTGGTTTTAGCCAAAGGATGCCCTAAAACCTCTCAGATGTGGGAAGTCAGGGGTGTGGAGCCACAAACACTGCAGAATGCCAGCCCCCCTTCCACAGGCTTCTTCTTCCCACAGCACCTGGCTGCGTTGTTCCCTGTCCAGCAGGAGGGTTGCTCTCCACTTTTCATTTGCTCACAGCTTCTCCACTTTCCTATAAGCAAGAGAATGAATGAATGAATACCCCTACAGACCGTGAGCCTGCCTCAGACAGCCATTCTGCTGGTTGGGCTAATTGTTAGCCAGGGTTCCTGGATGTCATTCATTTCATAATAAGGCTCCTAATTAATCTCAGCACCGTTCTCACCAGAAGAAAGGCTGATACGCAGAAACATCCCCAATTACCATGAGAAAGGAAATGTCAGGAGCCCCGTTGAGTTTTCCTGGCACCCGCCCCTGTCTCAGATGAAAATCGCCATGAACCCACAGGCTGCCTGGCGATCAACCTGGAAAACGCGGGGGTGATGGGAGCCTGAGCAGCCCCAGACCGCACAGACCCCGTTCCTGGAGGAACCTGCGGGGGCTTGCACGCTCCGGTTCAGTAACACCACTGTTTCCCAAGACGAAGGAGAATCCCGCTGCAGCGCCTCGGCAGGAGCAGGAACGCTTCAGCTGCCCCAGCAGCGGGCGGGCGGTGTTAATCCGGAAAAGCTAAAGGTCTCCTCTTTTGTCTGTGTTTCTGTGCCCACAGGACAAAAGATCCTTCATCACCGGAGTGACGTGCTGGAAACAGTAGTCCTGATCAACCCTTCAGACGAAGCAGTCAGCACTGAGGTGGGCATTCAGCTCCGCGGGGTCTGGGCAGGGCCGCGCACAGCTACAGGGCCCAGCTGGTGGCCTTTTTTTTTTTTAATAGAGATATTTTACATCCATACCACTCACATACCATAAAGTTCATGCTTTGAAAGTGTGTATTTGGTGGGTTTTGTTCACAGAGCTGTGCAACCATCCCCATTAATTTCGGAATATCACCCCCAAACATCTTGAACCCATTAGCAGTTATTCCCCATTCCCATCAGCTGCTGGCAACTATTTCACCTTCTTTTGCCTCCATGGGTTTATCTGTTCTAAATAGTTTGGGTAAAGGGAATCAGACAGTATGTGGCCCTTTGTGCCTGGTTTATTTCATTTAGCATAATGTTTTCAAGATTCATCCACATTGTAGCATATATCAGTGCTTTATTTCTTTTTAGGGCTGAATACCATTCCATTGTGTGGCTATACCACAGTTTGTTTGTGCGTTGATCAGTTGATGGGTTTGAGATGCTTCCTCTTTTTGGCTATCGTTATGAAGCCTGGTTTTTTGTTTTTGTTTTTAAATATGTTTTGAGTTTATTTTAGAGAGGAAGGGAAAGGGAGAGAAATATATAAACCTCAATGATGCGAGAGAATCGTTAATTGGCTGCCTCCTCCATGCCCCCTATTGGGGATCGAGCCTGAAATCTGGGCATATGTCCTGAGCAGGAATCGAACCCTGACCTCCTAGTTCATAGGCTGACGTTCACACACTGAGCCACACCGGCTGGGCATTATGTAGCTTGCTTTAATCCCACTTCCTCCTGCTTCAGATTAGCAGGTCCTCTTGGACCTTTCTGACAATTCAATAAGGTACAAAGTTGAGGCAAGTGATGGGCTATCTCTCTCTCTCCGACTGACTAACAGAATCAGGAAGTGAAATACAATTTGAAAAAAGCTGTATCCCCAGCCAGACATCTGTGAGACATGGAAAAGGGAAAAAATAGAGAATTTCTTTAAGGAATTCAGGCTTGCTTGTGGAACAGATGGGGCTGGAATAATTACTTGAGTATATGTGCGTTTCCTTGATTAGATGGGCGCTTTTGGTGGGAAATGGGTCCTCCCCTCCCCACCCCCCACCCCCCCAGCGGAATGGGCATAGAATGATTACCTTGGGGCTTAGAGCAGCATTTCTGCTAAAGGATAGGCTGATGACCTGCCACCTCAAGTTCACAGAGTTCTTTAGTGCAAACCATTTACAGTCCTATTTAAAAGGTTCCATTCAGGGGCAGCCTTTTGTTTATGTTCAAGGTTAGGTACCTGGCTGATCCCATTGTAGGCTGCATTTGGAGCTGTGTGTTTGGCGTGTGACTTGGAAGGGGATCCTGTATGGGAGGGGCTGACTTGGGACCCTTGTTGGAAACCTGTTTCCTGAGGCAGCAGTGGTGGGACCTAGACTGTACTTGGTGACTCAGCCTGTGAGATAGTCATAAGGCTCAGACCACAAGCTGCTAGCAGACACAGCTATGGAGCAAATGATCACCAGCTGCGGAGGCTGCTTTGAAAGAGACAAGGAAACTGGGGAGAGGTCAACCAAAATCGCGTTCATGGGGGATCTGATGACCACAGTCATTGGCTTTGTCCAACACCCCAGAGGGAGGATGAATAACCAGGGAATGAATGGTTTTTGTTGGTAATAAACTCCTGGCATTCCCAGGGCTAGCCCTGTCCTGAGGCAAGACGTTGGAGCTGCTGTAACTCCTGTTGCCTGGGCTTTGTTTCAGGTGCGTTTGATGATCACTGACGCTGCTCGACACAAGCTGCTTGTGCTGACTGGGCAGTGCTTTGAAAATACTGGGGAGCTCATTCTCCAGTCCGGCTCTTTCTCCTTCCAGAACTTCATAGAAATTTTCACCGATCAAGAGGTGAGCTTTATAATTGCTTTGTTACTGTTGTAGCCTCAGGCTGCTCTTTGAAAGCAACTAGAAAAAGAAGGGGAGGGAATGGCACACCTCTGAAATAAGCAAAACCCATGACTCATCACCAAAAGAATTTAGAGCGCTCATCTAGAATTAATGGGAAGCATTCTTAATGGCCCGGAGTGAGATGGAAGGGTGTTGGAACAGTGGACATTTTACGGATGGCCACATTTGGAATGATGGAAACATTTGAAATGAGCCCAAAGGAAAACCCAGGTTTCCTGTTTTCTGAAAGAATATTCCAAAAAACCCTTTGGACTTTTGGTAGGATTTAACCACCCCTGATCTCTTTCAGGGCTTGGACTTCCTTTTCATGGTCTAATTATTTCTGGTTTCTTTTACTTTTAATGCCGGGCCCCAGTGTTTGGGCTGTTTGAAAAAGAGAGGGCTCAGGAAAGGGCTACACGTAGGGAGACGGGGCAGATTCATGGTTCACATTCATGCTCCAAGAAAAAGAGGGTTGAAGAAGCTGGACTGAAGCTGGGTCTTTAATATTTCTGATGGGTATATCTTATTCAAGGATGACACATGTGAGGTATTGAAAACTAGATGATGATAGTGGGATTTGGGAACATCCGAGTGAAGATTTTGATTTGGTTGTTTGCTGGGGAATTTATCCTGGCTGGGCAACTTTTCTTCCCAAAGGAATGTGCCTCTTTCATTCTGTTTATTTGTTTATAGTCGTTACAGACAGGTTCAGGGCTGTCACCGCAGCAGGTTGGGGCCTGCCGGCAGCTGATAGCAGATTTCCATTTGGAGGGTTGAAGGGTGTGCTGACAGGAGGAGTTACCACGTCTATTTAAAACCATCTTCCCGAGGACTTCCTGAGATGGCGGCCTCTCGGCCTCCTGGGTGTCGTGAAGGGCCATCTGTCTTTCTGCATTTAATCTTCCTTAGGCTGCGCTTCACAGAGAGGTCTCAGTGTACTTTTCATCACTGGCCAGAGCTGTAAATAAACTGCCCCGCTTCATTTGGCTCACCTGGAGGCTTCTATAAAAAGGCTGGGCAGATGACAGAACTATGTTTCACTCCCCACCTACTGGGACAGGAGGGGTAACAAAATGAAAAGAAACATTTTACTTAGCGTTGTCATCTGGATCCGGAGGCAGATAGTCCTGGCTCCTCACAGCGAGAAGGGGTCACAGGGCCCTGTCTTTCTCCAGAGGCTGTGATCTGTCTTTCTCTAAGGCATATCTTTTGCACCCACACAGTGGAAAGGCTTTTGTTTATTGCATTGAAATTCCAACCTATAACTACAATTCTCACTCTACCTGCCACCCCAAAACGGATGTGTGATCACTTTAAAGTCAGAATCTTTTGCAAGATTGAGTTCTGCAGAGCATGTTGTGTCTGCGGGCATTTGTCTGATAGGTCAGAGGTTGCACACGTTATCAGCACCTTGCCCAGGGAAGGGAGAGAGCTGTAGAGGCCTGGAAATTGCCCTGTGGTCTAATAGCCCGGGTGGGAGGTGCACTGGTCTGAGTTTAGCCTGACCCTCAGCTCATTTATATGCTTGGGTGCCTCCCCTGCATGCCTGTGCAGTTCTGCAATTAGTTTCTGTGGTTGGCTTCTATCCCACATCATTGGTTTGACTTTGCTGTAAAATCGAACAAAGGAGGAATGCAAAGAAAAGGGTTTGTCATTGCCCAAATTCATCCATCTGACCTCAAATAATAGCGCTCTCTCTCTTTAAATAAGGCATAATGTTATGAAATTGCTGCTTAAATTGTTTTTTTTTTATTAGCCCACAAAGTAGAATTTTAGCACAGTAGGCTCTGCACATATTAGAATTTACCCTTAATTACCAAAGAAAATGAACCAGCCTTAAATGAGGAATGTGAGTTCAGCGGAAGGACAGATTCCCAGGGTTTGAAATCACAGGGATGGGCTCTGAAGGGCATACACCTTTATTATACTCAGCCAGGTGTCCTTTAGGCCAGAGACTCTGCCATAGTCTCTTCTGCTTCCCTCATAACACCACCCAATTATTTTGGAGAAAGTTATATTCAACACAAAAGGGTCTTTGGAGTTCTCCCTAACAAACTAGGTCAGTGGTGTCAGGGCTGGTGGGGGAAGACGAAGAAGGGGAGAATGTTGGGTAGAATTCACTTTTTCCCTCTTACCACAACCAGAGCAACTCAGCCTTTATTCCTTTGGCATTGTAGACTTTGAAGAAAGGCTGCTGCAGCCAAAGTCGGGTTGAAAATCATTGGGCAGGACCAATGGTTACCAGGCTGTTAGAGCTATGATTGCCTGTAGTTGCACTGGAACAACGGCTTGAGTATAGAATGATAGGTACTCTTGAGTATAGAATGATACTTGAGTATAGAATGATACACTAGCACAGGGACCTTAAAGGTCCAGTTTTTTCCCCTTTTATCCAGTCCTTGTTACCTACTCATCACTCCAGAGAAATCAGAAACATATGCAAGACTTAAAAATAGAATTATCAGTGCATTTTGAGCTTCAGATTTTGGGAGTCTTAGTCATTGGAGGTCAATTTCCAAACCAGAATTTAAAACAGTCATCTGGCTAACCTTACAACTCCCTGAAATCCAAGAATGGTGAAAACACCATCTCCTGGGGACATTTTTTAGTGTCTCTGTTAGAAAGTTTTTCCTTATTTGTCTCCTTGTATCTTCAAGGAAGAACTGTGATTCCCTGTTCCATCTGACACTATCTTAGACACTCTTCAATAACAATGCTAATTTTTTCCTTCCAGATTAATCATTTTCAGTTCCACCCACTGTTCTACATAAACCAAGCTATTAAAGATTTCCTATATTCCCTGGTCACTGTCCTTCAAACTCCTTTCATTGGTAGGAAGGGGAGATGGAGTGGGTATGCGGAAAATGCAGTAGTTCAGTCTTGATCATGCTTTAGCGCCTTGGTGTTATCAGATGCCAATCTGGATACGATACATGAGTCCAGAACTCAGAGAGCTAAGAGTTGGGTCAGATAAGTTAATGTGGTAGCCATCAGCATATGAAAGAGTAGATGAAGTAATTTAGAAGTAATTTAGAAGAAGGAGCAATGTATTAGAAGAGAAGTTAAGGCCAAGAAGAAGGAGCCAGCAAAGCAACCTCTTTCAAATTGTTTGCTTGTTTGTTTATGGTCTAGTTTCTCTAAAATGCCAAGACTCACACTGGACACCATACTCCAAGGGTCATTGACCAGATGTGTTGTGAGAGCTGATGACTATTGTTTTTAATACAGTCTTCTATTAAGTAATTCTAAAAGTAATTTTTGACTGCTACCATCCACAATTAAATATCAATGGGGAGAGGATGCAGGCTTTGAGGAGCTCTGTAATTACATAATTTGGGGGCTCCTTTTAGGAAAAAGAAAACAAAATTATTAACATACAATTAAGTACAGGGTTTTCAGAGGCACCCATGCCAGTGAGGGGTATCAAAGTTTAAGCTTCTGTAGCTTTGTGATAAATCCATTTGTCTGAGTCTTTTCTATGGATATTCTTGTTAAACCACATCTCCAACTCCTACACGTTAGCCAGCTGGTTTATTGGACCTCACATTTATCCCTTTAGAACACCATCCTGTCACAGTTGACTTAGCCATCATCATCCTAATGTCCAGGCTTTTGTAAATGTCTTAACTCTGCCATCTCACATTTTGCCATGCCTCTCATTTTCATGCCATCACACATTTGATAATCATGTCTTCATTTTTATCCAGGTCAATACTCAACAGGACATAACTGAGCCCTGAGGCAGCCCACCATAGACCTTCCCAGGTTGACACTAAGCAGCACTGTGTATATAGCTTGGTACAAATCCACCTGATTTTGCTATCACACTGTTCAGAAATCCTGTTAAGTGTGTTGCAGAGTTACGCAGTCCACTGTATTTCCTCATTACCCAAGCAAGTAACCTAATCAAAAAAAGGAAATGAAGTTAGGAGGCCATGGCTTAGAAATTCAAATCATATTTCATTTCTTTTATCTGCACTAAAGTAATTTATTTCCTCTATCTTCCTTCCTTTTCCAGTATGCCTGCATTTAATTAGAAAAAGAAATTGACAAAAAGACCATCTTTACCCCGAGCAACATCTCTTCCAGTCATGTCTCTCATCCACCTTTGTAGGAACAAGGGGAGGGTAGCAATCAGGTTTATGCCCAAGCAATCAGTGTGCTTGAGAAGTAAGAACAGGCTCGTGTCACTTCTCAAGTGTCCACTCCAGGAGGACAGCATGTATTGAATTGATAAAGTTCAGTGCAGTTCAACAAACATCCGTTGAATCTGATAATACATTGGGGAAACATAGATAACTATGATACAGAGAGATAGAAGATGTGTTTCCTCTGATTTAGGACTTTTCCTATATTGTGCTATAATAGCTATCATTTACTTTGATGATGATTTCCAATCTCTTAGAAGCCTCAGTTTCTTAATCTAAGAGCTCATCACAGGTTCCCTTGCCACTGCTTCCTTGTTGGATCCTCCTTATTGCTCTCATCCGAAAATTGAGTGAATGTTGATTGAGTGCCACTATGGGCTGGACACTTGTAAGACCCAATCTTTGCCCTTGAGATGCTTGGTCTCTAGGATGTATGTTGGAGTAGAGGCATTGGGGCCTCTCAGGGGAAGCAGGGAGTTCATTTCCTCTGTGTATCTCTAAGTCTGTAGTATAAGCATGTCAAACTCGTGGCTCACAGGTTTATTTGGCCGTGTTAGCCTTTGAGTTTGACACGCTTGCTGAAGTAGTTGTGCCTCTTTACCTATTCCATTCATCGCTCCTTCTTGAAGGGCTCTCTCTAGCTCAGTTTCTGCGTTCTTGTCTCATCCTGCCGCTGCTTCTTCCGAGAGACTGTGTTTTCCCTCTCTGAAAAGAAACCTGTCCAGCAATGCTTTCCCCCCCGTTTTTCTCATAAATCATAGTTTCCCATTCACCAGCCTCTTTGCTGTTTTTCATTGCCCTTGATTTCCTCAGAATTCTCGGCAACCTTGTTTTCTTTTGGGTAATTTCCTTCATTTTATAGGCTGTCTGGATAAAGGTGAAAAGATGGAAGCTGGGGAGGTATTCTTCAAGTCCTTTTACCTACTCTTTGAACTTTGTGATTACAAGTTTTATAAAAAGAGCTAGTGATTGAATATCTCCTTCACATAGGATCAAATCCTTAGGCTGCCAAAGTCTTTAGGGTGTAATTTCAAAAATTAAAGTAGATGAAAATTTAAATTTTCACTGTTAAAGAGTTAGCAGTTGAAAAAAAAAAAAGAGTCAACAGTTTAGTTGCTTAGATTTCTCCTCTAAAATGTATTATAAAACATAAATAGTTTGCATGTGTTCTGCATGAAAATTAGGATTGAGACTCCTAATTGTGCTATAGTGGTGGCAATGAAGGTCTATGCTAATTACCAGGATGGTTACCTTTGACTTTTTCAGTTTTCTTAGCTTCCAAAATAGTTGATTCCTATCCTTTTAACAGGAGAGGGTCAAATCAGAGGAAACAGCAAAATCAAAGATTTATTCTTTTGCTATTTTGAGACCCTTCATATTAAATGTGGGACAAATAGACGTAACAAAACAAAAATGGCTATTTTACTGCAATCTTAGGTAGAAAAAAATCAGATTCTATCAATTAGTCTATGCACATGCACTAGTAGCCTCAAATATTGGTATCTGGAAGGTTGTGTGAGACAGAGGAAATCACTCTAAAACTAGAAGGTGAGAGAGTTCAGACCTGCTGGCTTAGGGATGCCTGGACCACATGGAATCTTTGCTTTGCCCTTCATAATTTACCTTCAAGGTCAAGAGCTCTTTTTGTATCTCTGGGCTGATTTGTGAGCTTTGCTGAAGCCAAAAGAAGACCAGAGTTTATGGCATGATTCTCCCCTACTACTTAGTAAGCTAAGACTATGAAACATATGGCCATAACATGGAGTGAGACAAAAACAGCATTTTCAATGAACCACAATCTCTGTTTTGGACACAATTTGCTCTTCTGCACTCCTGTCCTATAGGAAATATTAAATAATGTATTAAAAATGTTTGAGCACATTTTTTTCTGGTTTATGCTCAACTATTCTTTTTCTTAAAATAATATTTTAAAATTACTATTTGCACTCAGTATTATTTTGTATTAGTTTCAGGTGTATAGCATAATGGTTAATCATATACTTTTCTTTTTTCCTTTTAAAAAAAAATATTTTATTGATTTTTTACAGAGAAGAAGAGAGGGATAGAGTTAGAAACATTGATGAGAGAGAATGATCGATCAGCTGCCTCCTGCACACCCCCTACTGGGTATGTGCCCACAACCCAGGTATATGCCCTTGACCGGAATCGAACCCCGGATCTTTTCATCTGCAGGCTGACGCTCTATCCACTGAGCCAAACTGGTTTCGGCTAATCATATACTTTTCAAAGTGTCCCTTCCTGTCCACCCCCCACCTCCATTTCCCCCCCAGTACCCACCTGGCACCATAGATAGTTATTACAATGTTATTGACTATATTCCTTTTGCTGTACTTGATTTGCATCCCTTTAACTATGAATTTGTACTTCTTAATCCTTTCTCCTTTTTGAGCCATATTTGATCTTAACCACTCATACCTAGCGTGCCCTGAAAAGAACAGGAGTTGTGAGAGAGTAGAATGTCTCACTTTGGATTCAAACATGAGTAAATGGGGACAAATTGGGATGCTTGCTTGTGTAATTGCCCAGTTGCTTTCATCATCATGGCTTCAATAAAAATATTTATATTTTTAGAGAACCTGCTGGACGAACCTACTCATATTTTAAATAGTGTGAACTGATGCCAGGACCAGTACTTTTTCGTAATAATGAGCAATCCATAACTTCCTTGTCTCCTGACGGGGTGGAGGGGAAGAAAGCACACCAAACTTTTTTTCTTTTGCACCTACAAAATTCTAAAAGTAGACAACAGTAAATGAACCAAAACTAAATTAATTCAATGTATCCATCAGGCCTTTTTGCCAAACTCATTGTAATAAAAGAAAATATTTTATACCAGTGGTGAAGTGACTCACATAGCCTTCCCCTGCAATATATATATCAATTACTCTCTCTATATAAGGGAGAGGCTGTGTCCTGCACACCCCACTGTAATATTAAAGTATTTCATAACCACTGTAGCACAGGCCCTGGTCTTCCAAATGGTCACTGGTCTTAGAACTGGACCAGAGTTCTGCTGCTGCACAACAAAATTATGTAGAGGTGTTCTGGGAGGTGGTTGAGGCATAAGAGAGCAGTGTGTGGGGTGGTCAGGACAGAGGCTGTTCACTTATCATTGTGGAAATATTTCAGAATTTAAACAACCAGCATCCCTGAAGTCAGTCCTTTGTGCGTCCAATGATCCTATAATATCTAATAATACATGGAGATGGTGGATCAGTGATGACATTCACTTAAACCTTTCCTTTCTTTGTTTACTTTTTTAAAATCCCAGATTGGGGAATTACTGAGTACCACCCATCCTGCCAACAAAGCTAGTTTGACCCTCTTCTGTCCCGAAGAAGGAGACTGGAAGAATTCCAACCTTGACAGACACAATCTCCAAGACTTCATCAATATTAAACTCAACTCAGCTTCTATATTGCCAGAAATGGAAGGACTTTCCGAGTTCACCGAGTATCTCTCAGAATCAGTGGAAGTCCCATCTCCCTTTGATATCCTGGAACCCCCCACATCGGGTGGATTTCTAAAGCTTTCCAAGCCATGTTGCTACATTTTTCCAGGAGGGAGGGGTGATTCTGCCTTGTTTGCAGTGAACGGATTCAATATGCTCATCAATGGAGGGTCAGAAAGAAAATCCTGCTTCTGGAAGCTCATCCGACACTTGGACCGAGTGGACTCCATCCTGCTCACCCACATTGGGGACGACAATTTGCCTGGAATAAACAGCATGCTGCAGCGGAAAATCGCAGAGCTTGAGGAAGAGCAGTCCCAAGGCTCCACCACTAACAGTGACTGGATGAAAAACCTCATCTCCCCTGACTTAGGCGTTGTGTTTCTCAATGTCCCAGAAAATCTGAAAAACCCAGAGCCAAACATCAAGATGAAAAGAAGCATAGAAGAAGCTTGCTTCACTCTCCAGTATCTAAGCAAATTGTCCATGAAACCAGAACCTCTGTTCAGAAGTGTAGGCAACGCCATTGATCCTGTCATTCTTTTCCAAAAAATGGGAGTTGGTAAACTTGAGATGTATGTGCTTAACCCAGTCAAGAGTAGCAAGGAAATGCAGTATTTTATGCAGCAGTGGACTGGCACCAACAAAGACAAGGCTGAATTTATGCTGCCTAATGGTCAAGAAATAGATATTCCAATTTCCTACTTAACCTCAGTCTCATCTTTGATTGTATGGCATCCAGCAAACCCTGCAGAGAAAATCATCCGAGTCCTGTTTCCTGGAAACAGCACCCAATACAATATTCTGGAGGGACTGGAAAAGCTCAAACATTTAGACTTCCTGAAACAGCCACTGGCCACCCAGAAAGATCTAACTGGCCAGGTGGCTGCGCCTGCTGTGAAACAAGTAAAACTGAAACAGAGGGCTGATAGCCGAGAGAGTCTGAAGCCAGCCACAAAACCACTTGCCAGCAAATCTGTGCGAAAGGAGTCTAAAGAAGAGACTCCGGAAGTCACAAAAGCAAATCACGTGGAAAAGCCACCCAAAATTGAAAGCAAAGAAAAAGTAACAGTGAAAAAAGACAAGCCAGTAAAAACAGAGACCAAACCTCCAGTGACCGAAAAGGAGGTGCCTAGCAAAGAAGAACAGCCTCCGGTGAAAGCCGAGGTGGCTGAAAAGCAAGCCACAGATGTCAAACCCAAAGTCACCAAGGAGAAGGTGGTGAAAAAGGAAACAAAAGTCAAGTCTGACGAAAAGAAAGAGGAGAAGGAAAAGCCAAAGAAAGAAGTGGCTAAAAAGGAGGACAAAACACCTATCAAGAAGGAGGAAAAACCAAAAAAGGAAGAAGTGAAAAAGGAAGTAAAAAAAGAAATCAAGAAAGAAGAGAAAAAAGAAATCAAGAAAGAGGTTAAGAAGGAAACACCCCTGAAGGAAGCCAAGAAGGAAGTTAAGAAGGAAGACAAGAAGGAAATTAAAAAGGAAGAAAAGGAACCCAAAAAAGAAATTAAGAAACTTCCTAAAGATGTAAAGAAATCATCTACTCCTCTATCTGAAGCAAAGAAACCAGCTGCATTAAAACCAAAAGTACCCAAGAAGGAAGAATCTGCCAAGAAAGATTCTCTTGCTGCCGGGAAGCTAAAGGAGAAGGGGAAAATTAAAGTCATTAAGAAGGAAGGCAAGACAACAGAGGCTGCAGCGGCAGCCATCGGCACTGTGGCCACTGCAGCGGCTGTGGTGGCAGCAGCTGGAATAGCAACCACTGGCCCTGCCAAAGAACTGGAAGCTGAGAGGTCCCTTATGTCATCCCCTGAGGATCTAACCAAGGATTTTGAAGAACTAAAGGCTGAAGAGGTCAATGTAGCAAAAGACATCAAGCCTCAGCTGGAGCTGATTGAAGATGAAGAGAAACTGAAGGCAACTGAGCCAGTCACTCAAAAAGAGACAGAAGTCATCAAAGGTTCTGCTGAGTCCCCTGATGAGGGAATTACCACCACCGAAGGGGAGGGTGAATGTGAGCAAACACCAGAGGAGCTGGAGCCAGTTGAGAAGCAAGGGGTGGAGGACATCGAAAAATTTGAAGATGAAGGAGCAGGTTTTGAAGAATCTTCAGAGACTGGAGACTATGAAGAGAAGGCAGAAACCGAAGAGGCTGAAGAGCCAGAAGAGGATGGTGAAGAAAACGTGTGTGTGAGCACCTCCAAGCACAGCCTCATGGAGGAGGAGGAAAGTGCCAAGGCTGAGGCAGATGCACACATCAAGGAGAAGAGGGAGTCTGTGGCCAGTGGTGATGACCGAGCAGAAGAAGACATGGATGAGGCAGTGGAGAAAGGAGAAGCTGAACAATCTGAGGAGGAGGAAGATGAGGAAGACAAAGCTGAGGATGCCAGAGAGGAAGGATATGAGCCTGAAAAAGCTGAAGCTGAAGATTATGTGATGGCCGTGGTTGACAAGGCTGCGGAGGCTAGTGGTGCTGAGGATCAGTATGGATTCCTTACCACTTCAACCAAGCAACATGGAGCCCAGTCTCCTGCCCAGGAACCTGCATCTACAATTCAGGATGAGACTTTACCTGGAGGCTCAGAAAGTGAGGCCACTGCTTCTGATGAGGAGAATCGAGAAGACCAGCCTGAAGAATTCACTGCCACCTCTGGCTACACTCAGTCTACCATTGAGATATCCAGTGAGCCCACCCCAATGGATGAGATGTCTACTCCTCGCGATGTGATGAGCGATGAGACCAACAATGAGGAGACAGAATCCCCATCTCAAGAATTCGTAAACATCACAAAATATGAGTCTTTGCTGTATTCTCAGGAATACACCAAACCTGCTGTCACATCACTCAATGGGTTATCTGAAGGCTCAAAAACAGATGCCACTGATGGGAAAGATTACAATGCTTCAGCCTCCACCATCTCACCACCTTCATCTATGGAGGAAGACAAATTTAGCAAATCTGTTCTACGTGATGCTTACTGTGCCGGAGAGAAAGACAAGAAAGCCAATGCCACGTTGGAGATCAAAGATACCAGCTCAGCAGTTTCAGATGAAAAACTTAGTCCATCCAAGAGCCCATTTCTGAGCCCGTCTCCACCATCACCCCTGGAAAAGACGCCCCTGGGTGAACGCAGTGTGAACTTTTCTCTGACACCCAATGAGATTAAAGTCCCAGGAAAGACAAAAGCAGCCCCAGTATCTCCTGAAGTGACCCAAGAAGTAGTGGAAGAACATTGTGCTAGTCCTGAGGATAAGACCCTGGAAGTGGTGTCTCCATCTCAGTCTGTGACTGGCAGTGCTGGCCACACACCTTACTACCAATCTCCAACTGAGGAAAAAACCAGTCACCTCCCCACAGAAGTCATTGAAAAATCATCAGCAGTTCCAGTGAGCTTTGAATTCAGTGAAGCCAAAGATGAGAATGAAAGGGCTTCCATAAGCCCCATGGATGAGCCTGTTCCTGACTCAGCGTCTCCTATTGAAAAAGTGTTGTCTCCTTTACGGAGCCCTCCTCTTATTGGATCTGAGTCTGCCTATGAAAGTTTTCTGAGTGCTGATCACAAGGCTCCCAGTAGATATACTGAAAGTCCCTTTGAAGGAAAGAATGTGAAAAAAGGCTTTTCAGACCAAATAAGTCCAGTTTCTGACATGACTTCCACTGGTCTCTTCCAAGACAAACAGCAAGGGAAAAGCACAGACTTTATCCCAATAAAAGAAGACTTTGGTCAACAAAAGAAAACTGACAGTGTTGAAACCATGAGCTCTCAATCAGGACTGGCTTTAGATGAAAGGAAGTTAGGAGGAGATGTTTCTCCTACACAAATAGATGTCAGTCAGTTTGGATCTTTTAAAGAAGACACTAAGATGTCCATTTCTGAAGGTACTGTTTCAGACAAGTCAGCTACCCCTGTTGATGAAGGTGTAGCAGAAGACACATACTCTCATATGGAGGGTGTGGCCTCAGTCTCCACAGCCTCTGTGGCTACAAGCTCATTTCCAGAGCCAACAACAGATGACGTGTCTCCATCTTTGCATGCTGAGGTCGGTTCCCCCCATTCCACAGAAGTAGACGACTCTCTTTCCGTGTCTGTCGTGCAAACGCCTACCACTTTTCAGGAAACAGAAATGTCTCCATCTAAAGAAGAATGCCCAAGACCAATGTCAATTTCTCCACCAGACTTTTCCCCTAAAACAGCCAAATCCAGGACACCCATTCAAGATCATAGGTCTGAACAATCCTCCATGTCTATTGAATTTGGTCAAGAATCCCCTGAGCACTCCCTTGCTATGGACTTTAGTCGACAGTCTCCAGATCACCCTACAATGGGTGCGAGTGTGCTTCACATCACTGAAAATGGGCCAACTGAGGTGGACTACAGTCCTTCTGACATGCAGGACTCTAGTTTATCGCATAAGATAGCACCAATGGAGGAGCCATCCTACACCCAAGATAATGATCTTTCAGAGCTCATCTCAGTATCTCAGGTCGAGGCCTCCCCGTCCACCTCTTCTGCACATACCCCTTCTCAGATAGCTTCTCCTCTCCAAGAAGATACTCTATCTGATGTTGTTCCTCCCAGAGATATATCATTATATGCCTCACTCACCTCTGAAAAAGTGAGAAATCTGGAAGGAGAGGCATTGTCACCAAAATCTGATATTTCTCCACTCACCCCAAGAGAGTCTTCTCCTTTATATTCACCTGGTTTTTCAGATTCTACCTCCGCAGTCAAAGAGAACACAGCAGCTTATGACACGTCTGCTCCTCCATCAATGGAAGCAACATCCACAGAGCCCTATGGCTTCCGTGCCTCGATGCTGTTTGATACAATGCAACGCCATCTAGCCTTGAATAGAGATTTGACCACATCTGGTTTGGAGAAGGACAATGGAGGGAAGACTCCTGGTGACTTCAGCTATGCCTACCAGAAGCCTGAGAAAACAAGCAGTTCCCCAGATAAAGAAGGTTACCCCTATGAGTCTTATGAGAAACCCACCCGAACCCCAGAGAAGGGTGGCTATTACTATGAGAAGACAGAGAGAACCACTAAGGCCCCAAATGACAGTGGCTATTCTTATGAGACCATTGAGAAAACCACCAAGACTCCTGAAGATGGTGGCTGTGCTTATGAAATTACTGAAAAGACCACACGGGCCCCGGAAGAGGGTGGGTACTCATACGAGATAAGTGAGAAGACAACAAGAACCCCTGAATTGAGTGGTTATAGCTACGAAAAGACTGAGAGGTCTAGTAGACTGCTGGATGACATCAGCAATGGCTATGATGACTCTGAAGATGGTGGCCACACACCTGGAGATTCCAGCTACTCTTATGAGACCACTGAGAAAATTTCCAGTTTCCCTGAGTCTGAAAGTTACACCTATGAGACATCTACAAAAACTACACGAACCCCTGATGCTTCCACATACTGCTATGAGACGTCAGAGAAAATCACTAGAACCCCTCAGGGGAGTACATATTCCTATGAGACTTCAGACCAGTGCTACACTACAGAAAATAAGTCCCCCTCGGAGGCTCGCCAGGATGTTGACTTATGCCTCGTGTCCTCCTGTGAATACAAACATCCCAAGACAGAGCTGTCACCCTCCTTCATTAATCCCAATCCTCTCGAGTGGTTTGCCAGTGAAGAGCCAACTGAAGAATCTGAGAGGCCCCTCACCCAATCAGGGGGTGGCCCTCCGCCTCCAGGAGGAAAGCCACAGGGGCGACAATGTGATGAAACCCCTCCCACCTCAGTCAGCGAGTCGGCCCCATCTCAGACTGACTCCGATGTCCCCCCGGAGACTGAAGAGTGTCCCTCCATCACAGCTGATGCAAATATCGACTCTGAAGATGAATCAGAAACCATCCCCACAGACAAAACCGTCACATACAAACACATGGACCCACCTCCAGCCCCCATGCAGGACCGCAGCCCTTCTCCACGCCACCCTGATGTGTCCATGATGGACCCAGAGGCCTTGGCCAATGAGCAGAACCTGGGCAAAGCTCTGAAGAAAGACCTGAAAGAGAAGACCAAAACCAAAAAGCCAGGTACAAAGACCAAGTCATCTTCGCCTGTCAAAAAGAGTGATGGGAAGTCCAAGCCTTCTGCAGCTTCACCCAAACCAGGGGGCTTGAAAGAATCTTCAGAGAAGGTATCCAGAGTAACTTCTCCTAAGAAGAAGGAATCAGTGGAAAAAACAACAAAACCCACCACCACACCTGAGGTCAAAGCTGCACGTGGGGAAGAGAAAGACAAGGAGACCAAGAATGCCGCCAACGCCTCCGCATCCAAATCAGTCAAAACTGCAACTGCAGGTAGGTGGAAGGTGCTGGCATCCACAACTATCCCACTTTAAACTAGAGCCTTTGACTTTCCATTGACCTTGTACTAGGAAGGTGAGAGAGCACAACTGGGTGCTCTCCCTTCCCTTCACTATCTCTTCTGCCTAAAGGTAACCATCTCAACCCAATGTTGTCCAAAAGCTTGGGGACAGCTCAGTATATGGCCCAGAGCAGCTCTGGTTCACCAGATGAGATTCCTAGGTTTGCTCCTTCTGCAACTCAGCAACTGCAGCTTTGTTCTTAGTTTTCAGAACTAAGGAAGTATTTCAGCCTCCTTTGGAAGACTGTTTTGGCAATGGCTTTAGCCATGCTGGCCCCAGAATGAAGCTCAGGTGACAGAATTCCCAGAGGCCTATGGAGAACTAGAGTTCCAAGCCAACCCTGGAATGTCCACTATAGGCCCAAGTTTTAGATTTAATGTTTTTAATTAATTTTTTTTAAAAAAATTATAACATTTTAAAATTAAAATTATAAAATTTTCAATTAAAAAAATCACCAAACTAGAGCTACATCCCCAGTAAAGGCAGTGCTCTGTTTTCTTATTGGCCAACAAATACTATAATTTCAGTCAGCCAGAGGGTATTCTGAACAAATTAAGAGGAGAGCATCAACGGCTCTTCTTATATCCTTCCCTTACCCCAGTCTTGCTGAGACTCAGAATTCTATTTTGGATTAAATTGCACATGGCAGGAGCAATATGCCTGACTTCTGACCATTCATGTTTTGGCCCCAATTCTCAGATTTTTCAAGTTCTCAGCAATACCTGAGTTTTTTATGGAACAGGTTTCAGATGGCTTCATTTTTGTTGCATGAAGATGCTTTTCCAACAGATCTCTAAAAAGAGAAAAGTGCACTATTAATTTATTTTTAAAACAAACATGGGTAAACTTCGGTCAGTTCCCTCAGCTTGTGCTTCTACATGAGTGACATTCATTTGGTGTTGATGGTAGCAATTTAGTGTGCAAGAGGAAATTCTATGCATTTAAATATATATTATTGATTTCAGAGAAAAAGGGAGAGGGAGAGAGAGATTGAAACTTTAATGATGAGAGAGAATTATTGATCAGCTGCCTCCTGCACACCCCCTACTGGGGATTGAGCCCGCAATCCGGGCATGTGACTTGACCGGAAGCAAACCTGGGACCCTTCAGTGTGCAGGTCGATACTCTACCCACAGAGCCAAACCGAAAGGGCCAGGCATTTTTAATTATTAAAAAAATTATACCTCACAAAATTCTGTAAGTTAGAGTCTTTGGGAGGCTTACACATGGATATTTGAGTGCTTTCAGCTCAGATTCACTAAAATGAGTCAGTGTATTTAGATATCAGCTTGGCTGATTCTCACCACTCCTCCAAACCCTTAAAAATAAAACTGGGCAGTTGATGGAGTTCACTGGTGGTTTTGACTCGGGGTGACAGTCTTTAAACATCCTAAGGAGAAAGGAAATAGGATTAAATATATAGAATCCAGTTGGTATTTTAAATGACTTAGCAGTGGTCTCAAACCAGCTGCACATTAGAATTACCTGGGTGCTTTTAAAAGATGGTGGTGCCCAGGCCCCCACCCCAGCCCCATTAAGTTAGACTCTGGGATGTGGGGCCTGGGCATCAGTATTAAGCATTAAGTACTAATAAGTATTAGTTGATTCTAATTATACAGCCAGGATGAGGAATCACTGCCTTAGAATGCTAGTTCTATTTATGTTTCAAAAAGTTTAAACCTTGTAGTAACTAGAACAAGTCAGAAAGCCAGCTCACCTTACAAGATGCCAAGAATCTTTGGGGTTAATTTGAATCTTCACTTTGCCCAGGATTTTTTTTTTTTTTTTTTTTTTTTTTTTTTTAACTTCAGACAGGGAATTCCCGCAACCAGATACCCCTTTCACCAGTTTGGTATGTCCTGATTGGCTAGAGAAAGCCTAGTCTTTCTGAACCCTCCTCTCACTAAATTTGGTATCCAGCCTTGTCTAGGGAGAGGTGTCTCTTTTGAGAGTATTGTGCTAAGAAAAGTGACCTTTCAACAGTTTATGAATGAAGTTGAGGTGCTGAGGGCCTTGGAAATCATACAAAGTTAAGATCTAAACCAGTTCCTAGGTCAAATGTTAGGGTATAATATTCAGCTATGGGCAATATTGCTTTCAAATGAGTTCCTAACGTGGATTACTAACATTGCTTTATTGTGGTTTACTAAATGCAGATTAAAATGGTTAAATGCCAGGGCTACTAGTAAAATGCCCTCTACCAGAGAGCGGGAAATGCTCAGTGTCCCTTTGCATGTCCTGTGGACCTTCTTGTGGATGAATAGGGGTGGTGTCCTGGACCTGGGGGTCTTTTCGCATTCCTGTGACCCTGGCCTTCTCTTTGTTTATTTACCAAAGGACCAGGGACCACCAAGACAACCAAACCCTCAGCTGTGCCTCCAGGCCCGCCTGTGTACTTGGACCTGTGCTATATTCCCAACCACAGCAATAGTAAGAATGTCGATGTCGAATTTTTCAAGAGAGTGAGGTCGTCCTACTACGTGGTGAGTGGGAATGACCCTGCTGCCGAGGAGCCCAGCCGGGCTGTCCTGGATGCCCTGTTGGAAGGGAAGGCCCAGTGGGGCAGCAACATGCAGGTAAGAGCCCAGGACCGTGTCCGCATAGCCTGTGGAGCTGTGCCCAGAGGCAGAGGGAAGGTGTCGTGTGTAAGGAGACAACGTTGTGATTGTGGATCCACATGTAGTGCTCATGGTTCTGTCATGCGTGAAATATCCTGAGAACACAGTGGATTTGACACACAGCAGGTAGTCTAAAATACTATTCTTGGTACCAGTAACAACCATGTCCTGGGAGGAAAGCCACTTCCCCACCCTAAGGCAGGTGTAACTTATTTACCCACTCAATGGGTTCAAGATTATTTGTCCTTCCTCCTAATAAACCAAGAATAAGTGTGCACGAATCACAGTGGCCATCCTTCTGTGTGAGAATGCTAAGGAATTGTCTTTACTCCCTTGTGTTTCATGAATAGACCAAAGCTAGCAGTGTGGCCAAGTAGAAAAGTAGCTGTCCCTGTGAAATTCTACAGGAGGGGCATTGCTAAGGATGGTCCCCAACAGGATATCTCCCTCACAGATATGACTGGCCACAGACCACTCCTTTATTATTTTGGCTGTGATCTTTGCTTATCTAAGTTGTACTTGTCTGCAAACTCACCTAGTAAACTGTATTTGCATAATAGTAAGTAGATTTGTTTGTTAGTTAATCATATGAAATCTCTTGAGAAGCACCAGTGGCCTCTTAATGAATTCTGGATGGAATTTTTACTATTCAAACCCACCCATGTCGATCCTCTGTCACTTCACCCTCTCCCACCTTTCCCCCAAATTAAAGATACAAATTTTTGTTCTCAGAACAAAATGTTAGTTACACACAGAAGAAAGCTTTGAGCTACAATAACAACCAAAGCTCCTTGCATTAAATATGCATTGTCCTTGATGCAAAATTCACCAAGTTTGTTAAAGGAAATACAGAAATTCCACCTTAGCTAAAGCACTTCTTTTAACTCTTAAGAACTGAGAAATGGATGGTGAATATAGATGAACCAATTGACTGGTCATTAGTTGCATTTGGTTCCCGTCTTCACCTTCCTTGAAAAATCTTGATATTTTCTTGCAACTTGATTCTAGTTCATGGAAAATGTAAGTTGAAGAAAAGTCCTTTGCATTTCCTGAGGAAAATGTAAAATTTTCCTTTCTTTACTCTTCTCTCTAACTAATTAATACCTTATGGTTGTTCTATTTTTTAATCTGATTTCCTGCTCTGCCCTTCAGCAGTTATTTGCTCTCTCCCTGCAGGTGACCCTGATCCCGACTCATGACTCCGAGGTGATGAGGGAATGGTACCAGGAGACCCATGAGAAACAACAAGACCTCAACATCATGGTTCTAGCAAGCAGCAGCACTGTGGTTATGCAAGATGAATCCTTCCCTGCATGCAAGATCGAACTGTAAAGACCAAGGCCAGCCACACCACAGGATTTGAACTTTGTTTCCAGAAATTCTTCAGTTTGAAACTACTTTTTCTAAAAAGTCAATTCATCTAAATAAGTCACTGAACTGTTACCTGCCAAATGCTATACTGTGTCATGGTGGTGCAAGTCACTAATATTGCTCAGTTTTTGCTGATTGCTAAGGGAAATAACAGTATCCCCACAATAGGGTTCAAGTTACTGCAAAATGACCTACCCTAGTTCATCTCTGCTGAACATTTGGAATTCATGCACTAGCAAACTCAATTGACTTCTGCTAGGTAGAGGCATTTGTCTTAGAGAGGAAGAGAGAAAGCAAGAGGAAGAGAGGAAGAGAGAGAGAGAGAGAGAATGCAGGAAAGAGAGAGAATGAGAAAGAAAAAGAATGCAAGGGAAGGAGATATAATGGTAGAGAGGGCTGGTGAGATACCCAGAGAGGAAAAGGGAGAACAGGGTGGGGTAAGGAAGAGAAAATAACCAATAATTTGGTCTGCATTTTCTTAGGCAGTTTATATTCTGTAGTCCATATATGCAGAGTTTTCAACTTGTGTCAGTCTGAGTTATCAAAAAGGGTCTTGATTTTCTAAAACAAGCTGGCTGGAAGAACACTAAAGAACAAAACTTTTCCTGAGGGCATGTGAGATTTTCATGCTGTAATTAAGCTCCTTCAGTTGAATGCTGCACACTGACATAACGTAGTGAGTGTAGATTGGACACACAAGTGGTTTGAACCCCATTTGGAACTCTCAGACTCTTCCAACACATGAGTAGATTGGTCTAAGGCATGTTCCCAGCACTTTGTGTACCCAGTTAGTTCACTCTGAGTCAATTAACCTGCATGCGGAAACAACCAATTCCACCCCAATGAACAAGCAAATACCAAAGCAGTTGGGAGGACATACGGTAGACAATTTGCCTTAGAAAGTGACTTGAATGTACAAAGATACTTGATGCACTTATTTTTTAATGCGAGACAGCAAGTATATTAAACATTCATGTAGGATTATAGCTACTCCAGTTACAGGAGCATGTGTGTACGCGTGTGGGGGTACTAGAAGCCAATCTGATTGGTGCAACAGTTTGATGCTGAGTCATGCACGTAGTTTACCACCTCAGTGCCCCTCTGGCCCCTCAGCCAAACACGCTGAGCCTTTAATAGCTTCTTTACTACTGTGAGCTCAAGATTGAAGTGGCTTCTATGATCAGAACTGGGAAACTGAATTGAATGATGGAAGAGGTTTTTCAGCAAGTATACAGTATTTACCTTCCTTTGTCTTGCATTGGCTTTTTTTTTTCTTTTCCATTTTTCGTTAAATTCAGTATAATTATGGGAACAAGTGTACAAAAGAAAAAAAATTTTTTTTAAGCTATGTCAGGACTTTTCATAGATGAACTTTTTAACAAATGTTTTCATTTGCAGGAAAATGCAAAGAAAATTTTCAAGTGACAGTTTTTTGTTTTGTTTGTTTTTGTTTTTTAAGTGTTTCGTAAGACAAAATGGATAATGTTTTTGAAGTTCTGGCGAGATTGAAGTCTGATATTGCAGTGGTAATATTTATTAAAGCCCATAACTGTCCTGCAGGAAGTGATCCCTCCCACCCTGCTTCATACATAACAATCTGAGTATGTGCTGTTTGCGAGTGGGGAGAAAGGCGTGGTAGTCTACTTTCCCAGGCTTCCACATCACCCAGTGATATCCTGCATTCTTCTTTCAAGATCTTCAACCATGAGGTTAAAGAGCCAAGACACGTTCAAAAAACCCTAGTGAAAATTTGCTTTGGGATTTCTTTTCTGGAAAAAAATAAAAATAAAAAAGAAACAATACATTGAAAACAAATGAATTCCCAACTCTTACTGTTCATCGTGTAGAGTTCAGAGATTGTTCCCATCATTGAACTATAAATCTGGGAAGCCAGATCACGATTCAAACGGACGTCAGGCCTCGAGTGACAGATCCATCACCCGGTGTCCTGGCGTGACGAACTTCTCAGTGACGACTGTGCTGTGCTCTGTCATGTGGCGTTTCCCGCAGATTCTGAGATCTACGGAGTAGTGAACAATGACCTCATTTTATTTATTTCAAAAGTAACATTTTAGTTTATTTTTGTCTGATAAGTGTATGTTTTGCACTGCTAACTACTATGAGGGTTTAAACAATGCTTCTTCAGGGTCCCTTCACTGAGGACCTATGCAGTCTACTTAATGCTGTGAATTACATTTTCAAATGTTTAATTTTTTTAAGAAAAATTAATATTCTATTTTTTTTAGGTTTCTCTAGAAATGCAGCTTTTATTTATTACTCCATTTCCCCCCCAAGTCCTTAATAACAACACATTAAGGGTACAAAATATTACCACATGATGGAAAACTCATTGTGACAAAAATGAATTTAATTGAGCATAAACTCACCTGCTTTAAACTTATTTAATGAGACAACCTAAGATACCCAAGACAATGATTTAACGATTGGGGGTTGAGTTAGCCCACATTATGCATGGGAAGAGGAACAGATTCCCAGTCTTCTTGCCAAATCCAGACCTCTGGTTGACTTTTCTTTGATAGAAGATGGAATTATTCTCCAATTTCTCCAATTAAATTTACTTAACATGTCTTTTTTTTTTTTTTTTTTTTTTTTTTTTTTTTTGCTTTAAAAATATACAAACATTTTAGGAGCATTATAACCAGTCTTCAATTATAATGATTTTTATCCCACTCCTTTTTTCTTTTTTTTGCTTTGGGATTTAAGGGAAACATAAACAAGCTGGTCTTTGTAAAAATATACAGCTGGTCTTTTTCCTATGAAATATCAGTACCTTTCTTCATTCATTGTTCTCAGTGATGACCACAGAGCCCAAGTGTACCAGGAAAACCAATATTTGCATTACAGGTTGCTCCTGTCCTTCCAGAAACCTTTTCTCTACCTGGGTGACTAACCTAATCTTGCTGGTCCCATAAATACACAATTAGTTTAGTATCAGCCATCACAATGTACCATGTACATTCATGGTGAGAGCTAAAGATTGACACAGTCTTCTAGGAGCTGTATTCATGCTGGTTACTTGATCCAATTGTATAGATGGAATATTTGAGTGGAAGGAATTTACACTCTTTAAGTGATGGGATTCCATCGAGATAGCACTCATGATCATGACCTTTTTGGTAGTATTCTTAAGCAAAATTCTACAGAGACTAAATGTTAGAGAAGACCCTCCATTTTCAATTTTAACTAATTATATCCCCTTTCTCAAGACCCAACCCTTGTGCATGCTTTCTCAGCCTTGTGGGACTGGATACAATGACTGACCCCCCTCCCCAAACACCATTTTCCATGGAGTTAAAAAAATTTTTTTCTTAACCTTACATATCATAGTGAATGGTTTCCCCAGTGTATATGAATGTTTTAAGTGTCTCCAATAGCTTATGCAGTTTAGAAGCTTTTCAATAGTCATTTAATAAGATTAAATCATTTGCTAATTGGGAATTTTACCACCTTCCATTGTTCCTGTATTACCAAACTTCAGCTCTTGGGAGCTGTTCTATGATTCTGAACTGCTTTTCTTGCTTCTCTTAGTCCCCTGTCTGTCACAGGAGGTTCTCGCTCAGTGATGACATTGTGAGTTAGATTTAATAACCTTATTTTCTTTGCGCTTCAGATGTAGAAGAAAAGATCCTGCTTCCATTTGAAAGGAACTGTAAGCTTTTATCTTCTAACTAACTGAACAACACACCAAAAGCAGCCTAAGGATGAGCATTTCTTTGAAAGCAATTAGGTTCTTCACCTGGTATTAAAACGATTTACTATTTTAAAAAAATCTGTGACTTTCTTGGTTTAAAAGGCAGCATCAAAAACTGCAAAGGAAGGGGGAAATAGCTTCTCTGCACTTGTTCGGAGCTCCCAGAGCCGACCATCGAGATGGGGCATCCAGCCCATCTGCCCTTTCGGGAACACCCTGGCCAAGGCCAGGTCGGGGGGCTTCTGTACGCAGAAGGCAGCCCTCCTCCTTCCGGCCCCGGAACAAGGTGATCTTGCGGCTGGTGGAGAGGCATACCCCCCCCTCTCTTATTCTGAATGGTGTTTGTGTCAGTCTGCAGCTGTGTATGGTATTATGTCTTATAATCCTGCATCACTTCTATCCTATCCAGTCATATCTAATGTAGAAAATTAGTTTCCAGTGGAAGTAATATGTAGTGCTTTTATGATATTTGTGTGCAATATCCCCTCTTCCATTGAGGATATTTGATGTAAAAGATTAAAAAACAAAATGCAGTTCCACAATAAAATACAAAAGTGGCAAAAGTTCAGGTGTGTGCTGTCTTAGGTTTTGTGTTGCTAAGTTGGCTCATCGGGAATTGGAATTTGCTATCTAGGGTTGGGGGGAGCAAATCTCAGAGAGGATCCTGATACCATTTCTGTAACTGCTACCTTGTTATCTTGTATAACCAAGCCCTCCAGGATATTAGAGATCTTAGGACAGAAACTGGAAGAAAGTGAGGGAAAGAGACAACTAACATTGCTTGGAAAGAAAGAGTAAATGTACCAGTGTAGCTGGAGAGGGTTATTGGGAGGGTTTCCCACATGAATCACGATATAAACCCCAAGCCAGGTGTTAGTCCCAGCTCTGCCATGCCTGCTGCGTGACCTCTCACTTTACCTCCGTCTGAGTTTCTCTTCTCACCTGTGAAGGAACGGCTCTGACAAGATGGTCACACTGGATGGCCCTCCCAAGGCTGCCTTTCTGGGCTCTACAAGGCCATCTTACTCAGTGATGACATCCAACACCTCCGTTTCTGGCGCAGTTACAGAGTAAGCTCTAAGCAGCGTAATACCCTGTCGATGTGACCGGCACCGAGGAACTAAAAGCTGTTTCAGAAAAGTGATTATGCGTAAAGTACCCGAAAAAAAGGAGAAATTCCTCTTACTCATTCACATTCTTGTACCTTTACTCTACTTAGCAGTAGGTACTACTGTGAGGACTTAAAGGTGACAGGGGTGACAGGGGCCCGTGTCAGATACTAACTGCAGGTGTGTATGGAGGGAATGTGCAGGGTGAGGTCTTCAGTTTCATGTTCCTCATTTAAAACGGGTTCCTGGTACCTCTCTCATGGGGTTGCTGGGGCTGTTGGCACACAGCGAGACTTCCATAAATGTCAGTCTAATGGAGAAGAGTTGAAAATATGTTGCTGAAAATCATAGTAACTATGATGATGAGATTCCCTATGTCTCTCTCCCTTCCTCAAAAGATAAAGAACACATTAAAGTGGGGGGTGTGGGGGGAGGGGTGGTAAGAAAAAAAACCCAGAAGCCAACAGAAGAATCCAAGAACATTTATTTCCACAGGTTCTTGATAAAAGACCGCAATCCAGAATAGAAGTACACCACGGCACTAAAAGGCAAAATTACACAGCAAACAAGAGCTGCCCCAACCCCTTTCATGGAGAAACTTAAGGAATTTTGGCCTCCTGAGGGTTTGATGATTACCCATTTTCCATGCACTGGAAGCCCATGGTGTCCCAGATTTTCTGCAACTTCTCTGACTTAAATGTGTGTTCACAGCTGTGTGTGTGCATGTGTGTGTGTGTGGGTATATGTGTGTGTGCACAAAAGGCACATCTGACCTACTTTATGAAGAAGCTGAGACAATGGATTGGAAGAAGATACCCCAACATGATAGAAAGCTCCCAGCCAACAAGACTAGCTTTTCCCTCAGAGTCCTCACATTCTAAAATGCCACAGAGGTTCCTGAAATTTGAAAGCCACTGACTGATCTTCTCCCAGTGCAGGTCTGGGTGAGACACAGGGAAAGGGAATGTGGAAATGGTCCCAGAGAGGAGAAGGGACCCAAGTCCTAGGACGTGCAGTTTGCCTTGGGTTGGGGGAAGAGAGACCATTCGAAAGCCCAAGCTTGCGACTTGATACCTGAACCCTGGCGCCCCGACAGGAACTCCGAGGTAGCTGATGGCTGCAGTCTGACCACTTTCTTAGTTCCACAGCCCCTGGAACTAGTGGGCCGCCTGGACAGGCAGATACAGGGCCTCTGTCTGTAGAACATCTCGGCATTCGTAGACAAATAGACGGCTTAGAGAAGAAGGTGGGTGGAGGAGGCTGAGGCTGCCATTGCGGTCACAATGATCCCTGACGGGATTGGTGAAGTCCCTGGAGTGGGGCTGAGCTGTGGGCCCTGTTAGGCAGCTGCCTTTGCTGCTTGCTGAGCCAGGTGCTCCCGCTTCGCCTTCTCCCTGAACTCCTGTTCCCTCTGAATCAAGTAAAGCAAATTCCGATGCCATTGCTGCAGCTTCTGCTCATAGGTGGCGATGTCCTCTGCTTCACAGGCGGGCAGCTGGGCTTTGATGAGCTGGGTGGTCAGCGTCAAAAGGCTCTCTGACTCAACTTTGCCCAGAGCCTGGAGCTGGGAATGTAAGGCCTGTTGGAAAGAAAGGAAAAACGAGGAGAAGGTGTGCGTGTGGGAAGGCAGAGGCAGACAGAAGAAGGATACAAGGAGGAGGAGTAAAGGCCCTTGCAAAATCTCCACACATCCTGCTTGAGGGAAAAGGCATGGTGTCGGGAACCTGTCAGAGGCCTTCCACCCGGGCACTGATAGCGTTTGCTCTGTTTCCCCCCAGCACAGTTACGTGGCAAAGATGTACTGCATGGCATTCCTTCCCCTTCACTTACACACAGTAAATGAACCTCCATATGCTGTGATTCCCTCTACTTTCTTGTTTTAAACCACAGTGACAGCACAGGCATAACAAATCAACATTTCTACCCCAACCTGCACTGAACCAACCAGCCAACCCCAAGAACAAAGAACTCTAAGATGCAAACAAAATGGCAGAAATAGCTGATAAGCTGGAGGAAGCCCCTCCACATCTTTTCCTTCAGAATCACCGAGATAAATGTTGGCCTGATGCGCGCTCCTTTTAACAGATGGAAGCCGTTCCAGGGCTTCCTGCTAATGGCGCTAACAGCTCTCACGGGGGCTTCGCTCCACAGGCTCCGCCTGCCGCGCTCACAGGTCAGCCTGCAGCGCTGCCTGCTCCGCTCCATCGGAAACGGCAGCTGGTCTGTTCGCATTGTATTCCCGGAGAAGCCAAGTACGAAAAACACTAATTTACTTAAGTGCTACAAGATGTAGATCACTGGAGAGAGCCACTTATGGCCCAACGATGGCTTATACCACACATCTCCATGTTCCAAACAACTGCAGTTCACGGGCACAGGCGAGGTCTGCTCCACGGGGGAGTGGGAAGGGAGCAGGTCTACAGGCTTCAGGTAGTGGCCACAGGAGCAGTGCGATGGGTCAGTCATATAAAATTTGGCCCCAAACAAATTACCCGACACTAATAAACATGAGGCAACAGAAAGATAAGGAAATATAAAATGAAAATCATTATTCATGGGGTCTGAGGCCAAGGAGACAGCTTGGGACAGCAGAATAAGGACTCAACTCTGAGTCAGAAAACTTTTGTTCAAGTCCAAAGTCTACGGGCTGGTTTCTCTCAGCCGTGGTGTCCTGTAACATGGACGAGCCGTATCTGCCACCCAGGGCCACGGTGAGGACAGACGAAATGCAGGTGTGTCCAATGCACAGCTAGTAACCAATAAGTACCAATTACTAATGCAGGTTTTTTAAATAGATGGAGTTATACATATCTTGATATATTGATATATGCGTTTTGAAATGTATGCTATTTTGTTGTATTGACAACCTTCAAAACTTCATGTCAAATTTGCTGAAGGTGTTAACATCATATATATTTTTACATTTAAAAATGTCAAATTTCATGCCAAAAAAAGAAGAAAAAAAGAGCATTTGGGGAAGTTTTAATTAATTACTTTATTTTGAAGAAAAAGTTATCATATACTTCGGGAAGCTTATGGTGAACATGCTCCATCTCAAGATAGTTGTGAACGCTGGTTTAAATGCTTTAAAAAAAAGTGATGATTTCGATGTGAAAGACAAAGAACGTCCAGGTTAACTAAGTATGAAGACCAACAATTACAAGCATTACTGGGTGAAGATGCATGTCAAACTCAAAAACAACTTGCAGAAAGATTAAATGTTGCTCAGCAAACAATTTCCGATTGTTTACAAGCAATGGGAGAAATTTTAAAGGGAGGAAAATGGGTGCCACATCAACTGAATGAAAGACAAATGGAAAACAGAAAAGTCATCAGTAAAATGTTGCTTCAACAGCATGAAAAAAAGTCATTATTGCATTGACTTGTGATTGGTGATGAAAAGTGAATTTATTTTGAGAATCCCAAATGCACAAAATCATGGGTTGATCTATCAGTGTTTCCCAAAGTGTGGTACACGTACCCCCAGGGGTACGGGAAGAGTTTGGTGGGGGTACGTGTTGCACCGGAGTTTGGTGGGGATATGCACTGCACCGTGCTTGGCTGCGCCTAATTCTACGTTCTTATGAGTACGAGGGGTACTCAGCATTATGAAAATTATAGAAGAGGTACACATATGTCAAAAGTTTGGGAAACACTGAGTCTAGGTCAACCATTAACATTGACCTCAAAGCCAAATCGCTTCGGAAAGAAGAAAATGCTCTGTATTTGGTGGGATCAGGAAGGTGTGGTGTGTTATGAGCTTCTAAAACCAGGTGAAACTGTTAATATTGATTGCTCCCGATAACAGATAATTTGAACCATGCTTTGATTGTGAATCGGCCAGAAAGTGCCAGAAGACAAGGCAAAGTAATTTTGCTCATGATAACCCACCATCACACATTTCAAAGCCAGTTAAAGACATGTTAAAAGATCTTGCCTGGGAAGCATTAACCCACCCGCCATATTCACCAGACCTTGCTCCTTCAGATTACTACTTGTTCCGATCTACGGCACATGCACTTTCTGAGCAGCACTTCAGAATGAACTAAGAAGTGGAAAATTGGGTCTCTGAATGGTTTGCCTCAAAATAAGAAAAGTTCTATTGGGATGATATCCACAAATTATCTGAAAGATGGGGGAAATGTGTAGCTAGCTATGGAAATTTCTTTGAATAAAGCACTTTTGATGTTTTTCTTGAAATTGTTTTCTTTTTTAAAAAAATATATTTTTCTTGATTTTTTACAGAGAGAGATAAAGAGCTAGAAATGTCGATGAGAGAGAAACACCGACCAGCTGCCTCTTGCACACCCCCTACCGGGGATGTGCCTGCAACCAACGTACATGCCCCTGACCAGAATCGAACCTGGGACCTCTCAGTTCACAGACCGATGCTCTACCACTGAGCCAAACTGGTTTCGGCAAAATTATATTTTCTTTGATTACAAAATCCACATTAT